TTGCGCAGCGGCTTCGTGAGAGGGAGCGAGACAGCGAAAGTGGTGGGGCTGATTCTCGTGTTGCCGGGGAGCCAAATGTGCATCACTGATTCACATACCTGGTACATGGATTTAGATTTGACTAAATGAAAATATAATACACTCCGACCCTATAATGAAAAACTTTTGGATAAAAGGTATCCTTCATATCCAAAGGTTTTGTCTGCAAAAATGCGGTGCTATTCTGAAGATATTCATATCACAGATAACGGAGCAAGTGTCGAATTGCAATCATTACTTAACCATACAGTTCACCGAACTGATATCTTCTCTAGCACCAGAAGTTTTAGGTTCACTGCAAGACAAATTATTAATTTTACATAGTAAATGGGGTATGAATGGGGCTTCGAGTCAATAAATTATTCAACAAAACAGAGCCAAAGATACAAATAAAGAGACAACGAGTTTCAATGCGGATAAAAGTGCATCAATGAATAACGAAATTGACGAACATCCACACAGATCTGATGATTCTGTATTCATGATATCGTTTGTCCCTTTGGAACTTAAATTAGATAATGAAATCGTATGGGTAAACGATCGACCATCGTCAACCAGATTTTGTCGCTCAATTCAATTTGAATTTATTGCAGAAAATGCGATCAACACCCTAAACGAGTATAATTATTATACAGAAAAAATACAAAGTCTTCGTCCGACACATGTTGTTACGTCACGCTATTGAGATTTTCTCCGTTTTTTGAGTCAATGCATTTAAGCAATTTACCCGGGGATTGGAGATCAAGTTGTGCGGTTAAGAATGTTCACTGGGAAGTATTGGATAATTATTCGGAAGGGTGATTTTGAATCCGGTGCCAAAAAGATTACGAAGCTTATAGGCGAATCTACGTGGATCGGCTTTTTGAATGTTCTTGTAATTCGGAAACGTAAGATTGATCTTTAATCGCTTGAGAGTATATACGCGTTCGCGGGGTGAGTCTACCGGTTTCTTTTGATCTAATAATTGCGCTAATTTTTGCAAATAGGGGAAAGGATCGTGATTTGAAATAAGAGCTGATTTTATTTGAAATCTTAATCTCTTCTCTCGCTGTCTTCATCCGCCTTTAATAGGCATGGAAGTAATGCAAAAATAATTATCAATGTTCCGAAGAACTGCCGTGAGACGGGGGCCACGCTATTGGGGCAGCGACAGTCGTAACAGTTCTCTGGATGTGAGACAATTATGAATATTCCGAGAAAGTGTTATAAGACGGGGGCCACGCTATTGACAGCGACAGTCGTAACAGCTCTCGGATACTCACATATACTATGTATTTGAATGTAATTGAATGAGATGCAGAGCAGAGACTTAGGCTTCATCCGATTTGATATATTCAATGTTTTCATTTAATAGGAAAAACAGAATAATGAGAAAAGAGAAATATAAGAGTGTATTTCTAATGAAGCGCGAGGATAGTTCTCACCTTGATCTAATTAATTTTCTCTCTATACTGGATAGGTTTCTACTTTTGCTTTATAAATGAATCACTGAATGAATGTATGACTGAACTGAATGTATGACTGAATTGAATAAAAGAATAACTGTCCATGTAACTGACTTGAATAAAAGAATAACTGTCTATCTAACTGAACTAAACTGAATTGAACTGAATATATTATTGACTTGAATAAAAGAATAACTGTGTGACTATGTAACTGACTTGAATAAAAGAATAACTGTCTATGTAACTGAACTAAACTGAATTGAACTGAATGTATTACTGACTTGAATAAAAGAATAACTGTCTCCCGACTGCTTTTGGCAGCTCCTTTTATATTTTGGAAATGAATGTGGGAGTGTCCTTTCTGGACCAATCAATACTCTCTCTCTTCAAAATTTGGTAGAACCTATACTCGCGCTTGTTTCCTTAAGATAAGGCAGTAAGGCTCCGCGTAAGCCCTACTCCCCTCTCTACAGGTTTAATCTTAATAGGTAATAGTTGAGAGTTTTAATAATTTATAATAAAAATTCGGTTTTCCTTAACTAAAATATTCTTATGCGAGGCGAATCTATTACATTCTGAATTATATATCTAAAATTGGTTTAGTTTTATTGGAAAAAAGAAAAAAAGAAGAACAAGGTATTCGTCCTCGTATTCAGAAAGATTTCTATTTTGCTGTTAATTGCTTAATTGCTAAACGCTAATGTACATACATTGTCACTAATATAATGTTAATATACGCTTTTATTTATTATTTTATAGAAAGGCTTCTTTGAAAAAGATCGTTGAATATTCTTAGACATTCTTTAGAGTAGATAATCTGTGTGATGCATAAAGGTACATAACTATCTGTTGGTTTTAATGTTTAAATATAAAGGAACTAAATATACCCCCCTATAAAAGAGAAAAGGAATTTTCGGTTTCGAAATAAAGATAAAATAGGGACGAAATATCAAGACCAAGACGAAATACTAATCTAGAGATAAGATAAAAATAAGGTATAAATCATATATTTATAATAACGAAAGAGAGGATTTTATCGGGATATAACATGTAGCTGTTAATAACATTTCATTTTCTGTAACTCATGATTTACAATGTGCCATGATCGATGGAAAAACGTGCAATATTATAACGAATTAAAAATCGAGCAACCCATGCAATATATGTGGGACTAGACCCACGCAAATGAATAAATTGGACATCGTCAGTACCTTATCACGAAAAATAGAATTTTATAAATTTGGATTGTCAACTCTACATTGCAAAATTCGTTTTATGGAGTGCTTACTCCATATTGCGTATAATATGGATTTTAAAGAAAGCAGTGCCAGAGATGACGAAAATAAATGTGCCAAGCAAAATAGAAAGAAATGTATTTAACGTTCTTTGAAAGAAGCTCTTGGCATCATTGTTGACGTGGTAAAAGGTGCAGGAAATTCTAATTGGGAATACTGCTAGACGTTTCTTCGCTGAACCGCAAATTGTAGCCAAAATTTGCCAACTTGATGAACGTTTAGTGACGCGATTTGCAATCATCTTGAAAGTACTTGCTAGCGGCCATGAAATTGATGCTGCAGAATTTAATCAATACGCTTCGGAAACAGCTCAATTATACGTTGAATTATACAGTTGGTACTTTATGCCACCAACTGTACATAAAGTACTAATACATGGTGCTGACATAATAACATCCTCATATTTATCCATTGGCCGCTATTCATAGGAAGCGCAAGAGGTAAACAATAAAGTATTCCGAGATGCCCGAAGTCACAATAGTAGATGGTCATCTCGACGTAATAATAATGAAGATGTTTTTCATTATCTTTTAATTTCATCTGATCCACGTATCAGCATTTTAAGGCTAAAAAAGGACAAACAAAATAATGACTTATCAGATGATGTTAAAAAATTATTAAAACGTAGTTAAAGGTTTAGTTTCTATGCACGTACAAAGGAAATAATTAAACAAAGAAAATAAAAATTTTA